CCCCCGCGCAGCCCCGCAGCCGCGTCCATCGCTGCCCAGCACTCAGTTCCGACGCCCGCGGCCGCTTCCTGAAGCTGCCCCAGCCCCCGCCCCTTCCTCCGCCCGGCGCCGCCCTCCGGCCAGGGGTGGGCCTTGCCCTGCCACGTGGGGGCGGAGGGACGCCGTCTCCACCCCCCGCCCGCCCGCCGACCACCCCCTCCCGGGGAAGGCCCGTTGCCACCCTGGGGATCGCGGCGGTGTCCCCCAAGGGCTCCAGAGCACCCGAGGGAGCACAGGCTGCCCCCGCCCCAAATGTGGGCTCTTCCCGGTTCCCTCGAATGAACTGAAGGTTCCCGCTGGGCGTCTGGTGCTTTCTTCTGTGCAAGCTGTAGGACTTGCAACACTTTTGAGTACTTTTTGCTTGTATAGGGGATTCGGGTAGAGCAAATGAGCGGCAACGCCAGCATTTTCTCTCTGGCACTCATGGGCAGAGCTAATTCGGGGAAGGAGTTGTGCAGAAATTCTCAGAAGAGTGCACGGGACCCCGGGCCCCGAGTCCACACTTTGCAATGTTGCGCTCACTACAGAACGCGGCCCCTGAGGGATTTAACTGGGCTCCCCTGGAGTGCTCGCAGCTGTGTCCATTTGCTTCAGGGAACAAGTCTTTAAGATTGGATGAAAAGGATCTCACCTTGTCTATCTGCCCTGGGCCTTACCGGTTCAAAGGAATTAGCTTCACATCTCGTATTTCTGAAATCACTATCAGAACATCGTATTCTGCACTGAAGGCGGGGCGGGGGGGGGGGGGGGTTTGGACCGGCCAGTGGACCCGACCCCAAGACTGTGGCCAGAGTTCAGTCCACACCCTGCCCGGCCTGCGGGGAGCTCAGTACTCACCTTCCGTGCTCACAGAAGGCGCAACTTTCCTAATTGTGATTGGACTGCAGTCCTTCAGGGTGTAGGACAGTGGTAAATATTCACTGATAAGATGGGGTTAGCATTTGCACTTTGGACTTTTATTCACCCACCAGCTCTCCCGGTCCCTTGGCCGGATTTTCAGGGTCTCCTGCTTGAGCCCTTCTTGGCTGACCTTTCACTTATCTGAAAGGAACACAGGAAAGTGAATTTTCCCCACTAAGTACCGTATCTCACAATATTATATTATTGCTGTAGGATATGTGATTACGTATTTAAAAGGAACTTTTTGTCTTCTTTATAACAGACAGATGCCAAGCCTTTGGGGTACTCACTTCAGAATTGCAAGTGTCTTATTTTTGCCTTTTAAAGCAAGTACTGTCCCCAGTGAACTGGGGGTGGGGGGAGGGCTTGCCACACCCGTTCTAACCCTGCCTCTTAATGGCGGAACAGGCAATGCCCTTCACCTTGCCCAGCTTCTAACTCTTCTCTGTAAAACAGGCACCAAACTCAATTGTTTTTGACAAATCACTGGCCATCACAAACCTGCAGCAATTTTCAAACTCTCTGATACCACGGCCTGGACTTCACCTGAGCATTTACCAGAAAAACAAACTCAGGACACCTACTGAATCAGGAGAAACTCTGGTGGGTCCAGTGATAGGTTTCAACAAGCCCTGGGTGGTTCTGCTGCTCGTCTGGGAATGACTGCCTGACAGACGAATTAGCGCTGTGATCCTGCTAAGAAAAAAAAGAAACCCATAGTTAAACCATACTATTAAAATCATTCCGATATACTAAACAAGAGTGCCTGAAATCACCTGACAAGAGGATTTGATTGTCCCTCTATGTGAATTGTCACTTTTCCAGAATTTTCTAAAAGTCTTAACCAACTAGAGATGAATATACAGAGGATTAAATTCAGCTATCGGGCTAGAACTTAAGTGTCACTTTTCTTCAGGTTTCATCCCCCTGCACCTGCATTTCCATAGAAAAATCACAGCAATTCAACTTTAAATTTCTGAATCCTGATTCCTACACTTAAGAAAACTGGAGGTCGGCAAAGGAGTATCTGTCCAGGTCAGCAAGGGGAGGGGCTGAGCTCTGCTGAGCCTGCATAAACCTGAAGCAAATCAACAAGCGAGCAAGCCTGCCATCGTCCTGACCAGGCTTATTTTTATGAATATTAACAGCAAATTATTTTCATGGGTTGCACTGATTCAGTCTTACTTTTTGAAAAAGGGTTAGGGCACGTGCTGGCTCTGTAACGTTAATCTCTCGGTGCAGGGTGATGCATGAGGCAGGAATCCACTGTTCCGTCCCAGAATAACTGCCACTTGACCTTATCATCTTGTACAACTGTACTTACAGCCACTTTTTCCTTTTAGATGAGAGTACTAGTTATCAGGTAAAACTACTTTTTACATAGCATTACTAGTCTAGACTAGTCTAGGGGCTCACAATGAAGAGTTCCAGAAGATGTGTTTTGTTTGCCCTCGACATTTCAATTCTGGCTTCATTACAGCTTCTCTGTGCAACACTTTCTCCACCTGGGAAGTACAATCAGCCAAATCTCTTTGGAAGGAGTCACAAGATTTTAGAGAGACAGACATCACTGGAAGCCAATAAAGTTTTATTGTTTTAAAATATCAATGTTGGGCCTCCCTGGTGGTACAAGGGGTTAAAGTGCAGCCCTATGAAGCTGTCCATAGCCACTGCAGCTCAAGTTCAACCCCCAACAAGGGAGCTGACCCACATGGCGCAGCAGACCTCTCCTGACTCACCCGCTGCTCCCCTCAGCAGTGTATTTCAATCTGACTCTTCTGCTCCCGACTTTCTCTGGTGAATACTCTCACCCCCTCATCTCTGGCCTGTACTTTCTTCTTATATGCATTAATAAATTAAAAAAAAATACAGTATGAAATCTCAGTATCATATTTCTTACAAAGAGCTGTTTATAGTTACTTGAGAGAGGAGTCAATTTTCTTTACTTTTAAATGGCCTTATTCGTAGACAAGTGGCTGATTCTAGGGCTGAAGCAGGTAATATACAAAGTAAACTTAAAGCAGCTTAGTTTCTTGCCAGAAAGTTAAAAAATTCCCAAAGATTAAAAATGTACAATAGACAGAGGAGCCAACTAACTCAATTGCTGTCATAAGGTCAAGTGCTTAAAAATTTGAGCAACAAAATATCCCCCGACATAACAACAAAAAAATACAAGCCCACACTTAGTGAAGGGGGAATGGCAGTGAACAAATCAGTTTTACAAAACAATTCCAAGTAGGACTATGGATATGCTCCCTTCAGGAGATTGAATGCAATCTTGCTACTCTGCCCCTCCACTTCCCAGAGGCTGAACTTGGTGCCTGCTTCCAAAGAGATGAAGGGTGGAAAGGGAGAAATAAGAGGTGTCCAGAAAAGAAATGTAAGACACACTACAAAGTAATAGACACTACAAAGTAACAGACACTCCTGACACAGTGGCCACAGTTAATATATCAGTGAATGGCATTCTACTACTGATAGGATTTCATGAAAACAACCCCTTCCTTACCTGTGTCGCTTTCGTCCCCAAAATCCATACCTCCAGTCCAATCCTGGGTAAATATTCGGGAGAGCCAAATTGAGAGACCTTCTGCAAAACACCTAGCCAGCATTCCTCAAAACCGTCCCAGTTATGGAAACAAGAAGACTAGGAGCCATCATGGATCACAGGCTAAGTAGACACGTTAGGTAGACACACTGTGGTGTCTAAGGGAAAGTCCTGGAAATGAAAATGACACTCATGGAAAAATTAGTGCAACACAAAGTTAACACTGCTTCCCGATGGTGCTTTCTTAACAGACAACTCACAGGTATGTAAAGTGTAAAGAGTGTACATAAGCAGTCTCCATCTTTGCAACATAAATCTAAAATCATCCCCCAAAATGTTGTCGTTAATCTAAACAAAAAGTCTTTACTGGCCTCTGCATCATGAATAAAATTTTACTAAAACATTCTGAGTTTGTCCTATTGACAAAGCTAACGCTGCCCAGAATATCCACAAATTTATTATAACTTTGTTACCTGGACAAGTATTTTAAAAGTATGTTCCGATAAAAAATGAAGTGTCAGGGCCCTCCCTGGTGGCGCAGTGGGTTAAAGCACTGCACTGAGAAGCTAACGCCACTTCCGCATGAGTTCGATTCCCGCCTGCCCCGGAGGTGACCACATGGGGAGGCAGACCTCTCCTGACCCGCCCGCTGCTCCCCTCAGCAGTGTACTTTGATCATCTGCCTGTTCTGCTCCCCACTCTGTCTCTGGTGAATCCTCTCACCCTCCACATCTCTGGCCTGTACCCCAGTTCTGTATGAATAAATAAATCTTTAAAAAAAAAAATGAAGTGTCAATAATAGTTTAAACTGTACCTTTAAAAAATTCTGAATTATCAGCAAGAGTCCAAGTACATAAACCAGAGCCCAGTTAGCTCACTTAGTCATGAGACACACCCGCCGTGTCCTGCAGAGGACAAATCCCTTAGCAGGATTAACTGCCACCAGCTTGTTCAGGAAGATGGCCGGTTCTCAGCCAGGACGTGCATGTCACATTAGGAACCAACACATTTTCCCTTCTGCCCAGAACTGCCTAGATTGGCTTGAAAAGAACCACCTCGCCTTCTGCTGTTTTTCGCTGACTTCCCGGAACAGTTTACTCGTTTAGTAACTTTGGCCATGAGTTACCCAAAGAAGTGTGTGGCTTGGATCCTGGGCAGGCCCACAGCCAGTGTAAGCAAGGAGCAGTAATGGAACAGAGCTGAGCAAGGAGTTGACAAGTTTTCCACGTTCATAGATGTTTTCACAAGCAGCTTGCACTTTCGAATTTGTTTTTTAATAGCTGTTAGTAATTTTCTATGTACATGACAGCTGTGTACAAGACATGCGTGCTTTTCCTTCCTTTTTGACTCCACAGTTACTTAAAAAGTAAAGCCAACAATATCAAGAACAATTTTTATTCGTGTCAATAAAAGTTTACAGTCCTTTAAAGATGCCCCAGAATCCACAGTGAGGAACGCATGCCAGGAAACAAGGCCACAGCCTAACAGCAGGCTGCTCTGACAGGTGTGCTCAACGGCTCTGAGCCATCTCCTTCAACCCATCTTTGCCAAGGTTGTAGCAAAGCATGACATTTCTTGCAAAAGATCCATAAAATGGGAGCAGCTATGCTTCAGATTTCTTCCATGTTCCCTTCTTGGTGTGCCACGTAATACCTACAGATCCTGGTACTGCACCCTCAGAGCTGACAGTTCCAATTTTACAGGAGAGACATGGGAACCTAGTCCTTGCACCTAGTCCTGTCATAACAGAGCCGTGACTTATTCATATGCTGAGCAGCCTACAGGAAAACAGCCTACGTGTGTTAATTAAAATAGGACAAAGGTCAGATCCTTCCAGGTATAAATGTACATTTAAAATTATACATACTCTAAAATATGTTTCTAAATGAAGATTTCCCCGTATTTCCAAGCAACACAATACTGAACAAACCTTATAAAGAATTTTAAATTTGACCTCTTTTTGGGGTAAATATGGCAGTGGAAATAGCGTAACAAACTTTTAAAAAAAATTCTCCCCTTAACACGCACCTCTTGCTGATACTACTCAAACCATTTGGCACATTAAGGCAGCAGAAACTAGGGAGACACCTCCCCCCTTTGGGGTTACTTTGAAGTTTTAATGCCAAAATGAGGTCTTCAAACAATCCTTTTGCGCAAATAAGGCAACGTTATGCTGGAATATCTGTTCCATGTCAAGGCTGAAGTTCATCCATCCTCATCCTCTGCCACCACCTGCCACGTCTTCTTTAAAGATCTGTCTTTTCTTCATAGCGACACCTGCAGGCAGCTCGCTGGCTGTCCAGGTAGGGTTTACAGCCTAAGTGGATCACACTGTCAAATAAGAGCTCCACTGTTGTCTCACAAGCTGCAAAGTAAGAAATGCGCTTACCAGGGAGTACCCCAAATGTCACTTCCCCCCACCCCAAGCAAGAGCCTGCTGAGGCACCCTGAAGCCCTCCTCAGAGAAGCCTCCCACCGCCTTGCGTAACAGAAGCAGGCTCAGACTCTCAGTGCCCTCTCTTCGGGCGTCTGCTTTTTCTCTAAGTGACACCACTCAATCTGACTTTTGGAAATTGACAAACAAGTCCCCCTCAATTGCATGAATTAACTCAACACTGCTAGTTTTTCTTTTATCTGTCTCACTAAAATGGTGCCTGGTATCATTCCTGAGTTTGCATTTCGAAGAAGAATCTGTAAGTGCCTGTGAAATGAATCGGAAAAAAGAGAAGCCCCAGACCCTTCAACTATGGTGTCTGAAAGAACTGATCGCACATCATTTAAGATGGCTGAAGTAAATGGAAGCCAGGCTCACATGAATGGATACCCAAATCTGGCCAGGGAGGAAGGTCACAGGATTTCAAAGATCTTTCCCCTGAAGACTGTACAAAATGTTTTACGACTATAATTGTTGTCTTTTCCTTTTCTTATTCTTAGGAACCTGGAAAGTGTAGAGATTATATTAACATATTACACTTAACTGGATCCAGCATAGTGGCTTTTACTTTCCCAAATACCCAGCTTCAAATATTCTCATAAAAGTACTTTCCATTACAGACTCTTAACACTGTCCAAGTTCCCCAAGGACACATGAAGGCTCTGCCTGTTAGATGGCAGATGGTGTGGAAAATGGCTTCCGTCATTAGCCACATTAGCATGTCTGTAAAGATGAAACGCAGCCACTCGAGCTTGGGCTGGACAAGTGTGCTCAGCCAGCTGAGGGTTCGGAGGGTGTCGCTTCAAGCTTCACCTGGAGCTGTAATTCCATCCATGTGGCTATTAGCTGGATTTCAGAATCAGATCTATCTGGAGAATGTGGTAGTAGAATTTTAGAATTAGATGACTGACTGGAGGGGAAAGGGCAGGGGATTAGGGGGCAAGTCACTGCTTGCAGAAACTGTTTCCTTCCTTAAAAAGCAGTGAAATGCCACTTTTGTCTCCGGTCCTGACCCTGAGCTGCTCCCTGGCCCAGGGAGTGGTTGGGCACTGGGCTGACACCGACACATATAAAGAGCCAGTTTAGACTTCAACCCCCTGGACCCAGCATTTCGGGCTGTGGGTGGGGATGAGGAGACCCGCCAAGGTGCAACATGTGAGCCTCCCAACTTCCTACACTGTGTGGTTCACACAGAAGCATGCAGGACTGTGTAGCTCAGGGCACAGTAGTGGGGCTTTTCTACCCGTCAGTCCCGCGGACATGCACAGTGGTCAGCGATGGTGAGCGAGCGGCCGCCTGCACCCCTCACCCTGCACGTGCTGGGCCAGCCCCAGCGTCTTCTGCACGTCTCGGCAGATTTTGGCCAGGCAGTACTGGAATCCCTCGTCACAGTCGCTCTTGCTTTTGCCACAGGTCTCGTAGCACCTGTCATGTTGGTTGCAGCACTTGGTCAGGGAGGGGATACCGATGTTAAGCTGAAAAAGGCAGTCGGAAGGACACGTTATGGCTGATGAAAGTGAACCTCACCTGCTGCATTCACGCAGAAGCCACCAAGTTGGACAGTGTCCAAAATTGATTTTGCCCACAAATGCCTCCTACATTAGACCTCTCTCCATCACTCTCCCCTGCTCCATCTATGTCCCTGGTGGCCTCCTGCCTGGCTATGCCTCGAGGCACCCTATTCAGCAAGTTAGCACAGTCACAGTTACCTGCTGGTAACAACATAATTTCTTATACAAAATGCAAAACATCGTTTTGAAAAACAAGAAGTAAGGCTGAGAGAATCATCAGACCACGGCAGGGGCTATGCAAGTGTGATTTCCAGAGATGGCAGGACGTCTCTCATGTCAGCACCACTGACAGAATCTGCTCTGTATGAAGTATTACGAAAACCATTAAGCGCCTAGCACTTCAACTTTGCTGGTTTTGTGGTTTCATCTTCAAGTATTCAGCAGTTTCTTAAAGATGCCATTTCTCCAAATTTATAACTACTTATAAAACAACTTAATACACAAATGTATTGACTTGCAATCACTTCCCAAAACATTTTTTCCTCGTAATATGCTTAGACTCAGCCTTACCTACAACAGACATAGTTATCCCACCAAGCTTAGTTTTAATCTAAAAAATATTGTTTTATCTATACTGTCTTAGCCTAAGTAGTATTACTTCTACAAACCAAACTTGATAACCATGTTTTTGACATGAATGCCATTTCAGTGTATTAAGTTTGAAAAATGAAACATTAATGTCACTCCTTTTACTTTTGTTAAAGGACTTATTAAATGTGCTTTAGCTATAAAAGAACATACTAGCCTAACAACCTATCACTATTACAACATGCAAAAGTACCTGTGAACTCGTGGCTACATAGATCTTCTTGCATTACCAAGAGTTTGACACAGCCCACCAATCATAAACTTTATCAAGTAAAGGTAATATTTACATGAACACCAAAGAGTGGAGAACCACATCCATTGGGTGGGGAGGGTTTATAGCCGGAACGTGCGAAAGGTTTAGATCCTATAAAACACAAATGGCATCATCATTAATTTTCAAATATTACAGAAAACACCTATAACAAAATATCTACAATGTGCTAGACTAGCAAATACTTGGAAGTATTTAATATTTGTGTGCTGAGGAGTAAATATATCTTCATTAGGATGAATCCTAAGAAGGCTAATTTGTCTTAGTTATTTTTATTTCTCTTGCAGTGAAATACCTACAGATGTACACACACGCACACACACACACACATATGTTACTTCATAAAACATAAGGGTGCTCATAAAATGTAGTTTTAGGCCCTCCCTGGTGGCGCAGCGGGTTAAAAGCACTGAGAAACTAAAGCCACTTCCGCATGAGTTCGATCCCTGCCTGCCCGGGAGGTGACCACATGGCGAGGCAGACCTCTCCTGACCTGCCCGCTGCTCCCCTCAGCAGTGTACTTCGTCGATCTGCCTGTTCTGCTCCCCACTCTGTCTCTGGTGAGTCCTCTCACCCTCCACATCTCTGGCCTGTACCCCAGTTCTGTACGAATAAATAAATAAATCTTTTTAAAAAATGTAGTTTTATTTGTAAGCCCATACCATACAACACATACAAAGCTTATCCTTGACTTCTCATGATTTCAGAGGGTACATGCCAGATTGGGCCCACATGCATGAAAGGTAAATCTTCCTGTACCTTCTAACACATAATTTCAGTTTAAAACCTATGGGGCAAGAATTTTATCTTCCCGAAGGCAGCCAATGTTCCACTGTAGACAAACCTTAAGAACCATAGCTAGCAAGTGTACTCTCCTGGAGCTAAGGCAGACAAGGTCAATGGTGACCATGTCATTATAAAACATCACAAGGCCACAGAGTGAGCCTCACTCCAGACAACTGTTTCATACATACACTTCTCTGCCAGTGAAGGAATAAAGACAGTGACCCATGATATTCTGGTTACACGGCCCAGCTGAGCACCAAAGGTTCCATAACAGAGAATGACACTGCACAGTGATCTTAAATGCAGCCGTCAGTCTCGTCCTAGAACATGATGTTCACCTCGACACATTGCAGTCACCTGCTTTCTCTCCAAATGCTTCCCTCATTCCCACAGCCCACTCTGCTGGGGAATCAGCGTTCTTGTGAATTCTACCTGTGTGCCACTGTCCACTGGAGGACAGAGGACAAGCCAACTCCCCATCTGACAGCATACTCCTTTCAAACATCGGGGGTTACCTTTTGGAGTCACAGACTATTACCTAGGCAATAAGGAGCAGACTAGTCCATCAACTTTAATACTAATAATTTACTACTAGGAAACAAAGATAAATCTGATCGAAAGGTATGGGGTGGGAGGAGTCAGCCACCAGAATAAGTAACCCACTCAGAGAAGCGATATGAAATGGCCCAAGTAAGGCACTAAGACTCTCTGCTTCACTCAGGGACCAAGTGCAGCCTGAGTCACTACACATGACTGACACAGAAAAGGGGCAGCTGTGCCAGAAGTTGGTCTTGTTTCCCAGCATCTCTTGATGAGTTGTTTCCAAGCCCTCTAAGATGAAGGCAGATGCTTGAAGCAAGCACAGGCTCACTTGATGCCTCAACTCCTGCTCTTACTCAAAGCAAGCACAGGCTCACTTGATGCCTCAACTCCTGCTCTTACTCCTTTCCTAAGAGCACAGGTAATGCTTTGGCTTTGCACGGGTCTGCAGAGTGAGGATACACTAGACGGCTAACAGGCACCTCTCTGTCACTTCTGACCCCCACCCAAGTACCTGCTCACCAACAGTCCCTTCTTCTCAGCCAGCAGCAACTCCACCTTAACCCCTTTTACTTCCCCATTTTCCTCTGCCCTACACCCAACCCAACAGCACATCCTGTTGACTCTACCTTCAAAATATTCAGGATCCAACCACTCCCCCACCTCCACTGCTACCATTCTGTGCGAAGCCCCCCTGGACTGTCACCCTTGGCTCTCCACCGCCCCCACTCCTGCCCTTTCTCAACATTGAACCTCGACATCTTGTTAAAAGGTACATTAGATCAGCCCTTCCGCAGCCTCTCCACTCAGTACAAAACAGCAGTAAGTAGTGGGCCGCCTGCCCCACACCTCTCTCAGAGCCCCACACTGTTCTCTCCTCCACCTCCTGGCACCTCCACCCATGACAGCTGACTGCTGTTAATGTTGCCCTAGGTCTGCTCCTGCCTTGGGGCAATAGAACCTTCTGTTCCCTATGTGGGTACTCTCTTCCTGGTAGCTACATGTGAGAGCTTTACTGTCTTGATCACACCATTTACACTATACATGACCATCTAACACAAGGTATTATTGACCCAGTTACTAATATGTCTCCCCACGCTAAAATATAAGGTTTTTTTTTTTTTAAAGATTTATTGATTTACTCATACAGAACTGGGGTACAAGCCAGAGATGCGGTGGGTAAGAGGATTCACCAGGGACAGAGTGGGGAGCAGAACAGGCAGATCGATGAAGTACACTGCTGAAGGGAGCAGTGGGCAGGTCAGGAGAGGTCTGCTGTGCCATGTGGATTTCCTCCGGGGCAGGCGGGATCAAACTCATGCGGGAGTAGCTTAAGCTTGTTAGTGCTGTGCTTTAACCTGCTGCGCCACCAGGGAGGGCCCAAAATACAAGCTTTTTGACAGCAAAATGCTTGACTCGTACCTTTCAGTGCCTGCAAGGGCACTTGACATATGGCTAGGGCCTCAATTAACAACTGCTAATGAATGAATAAGTCAGCAGATGACCTAGAAGGGTAGCCCCATGGCAGTTACAATTATCATGACAAGTCAACTTTAGTTGCTGTTTAGCCCTCTGTTTTTCTCTTCTGGGCACCCATCAGCCTACAGACTGATCAGCTCCAGTTGGCCACATTAGTGTGGCATATTTCTGACATTATGTATGGCCACATTATGTATGTGGTACCCCAAACTGAACACTATTAGATGGGCTTATTCTAAGCAAGTCACACTTGGTATTAACACTACCTGCACAGTCAGCCTGTGTTTATGTTGGGGTCTCAGAGCTTAGACATTTCAGACAGCATGAAAGAAACACTAGGTCTCCCTAAGGAGAGCTTTTAAGTATCTATTGCTAAGGGCTCAGAAGTACAATCTGATTTCTGAGCCTAAATACTGATGCTATCTCGTTGCCTTTGTCATCACTGAGGGCTGCTCAGCAGATTTAAATCTAGAGCTGCTAATCCAGTGTTGCTCACAAACTTGAGATTCATGTTAATCTGCAGCTCCTCCTCTTGACAAGCCTTTCTCCAGGCAGCCACCAAGCATGAATCCAACCCTCTGGGCAAACCTCTCACCCTAAATCAAGGCTTTCCCAGTAGATGTCTCTTATTTACCTATGATCTGCTTTGTCCTACCATGCTAGAAACCACTGAATGCAAAGAGAAGGAAAGGGATCAGCACTACATTCTTGGGGGAGCCGTTCCAGTTCCCTGAAACATTATTACAAAGCTCTCTATTTTCCCAGTTCCAACAGTCAGCTGTTTAACAAGCTTAGAAACTCATTTAAGCATACACATAGGAATGGATTTAATTTTAATCTGACAAATAAAAGGTCAACAAAAGTCTCCTGGCTCCATATTCTGGCTCCTCTCTCTTTTCCATGAGGACCAAGGATTACCACCTTCAGACAGCACATGGACCTAGCATTCTTTTTGTTTTCCTTTTAAAGATTTATTTATTTATGCATATAGAACTGGGGTGCAGGCCAGAGGTGCAGGGGCAGTGAGAGGACTCACCAGATATAGACTGGGGAGCAGAACAGGCAGACTGATGAAGACACTGCTGAGAGGAGCAGCGGGGGGTCAGAAGAGGTCTGTTGCACCATGTGGGTCACCTCCGGGGTAGGGATCGAACTACCTGTTGCACCACCAGGGAGGGGCCCTGGACCTAGAATTCTACAGGCGCCTGGGCTTCTATTCTCTCACCAGCCTCCAGATATCTAAGAAAAAATTCACTGTTAAGTCCCCCAGTCTATGGCACTGTGTTTTGACAACCTGAGAGGCAAAACGAAAACTTACAGCAGCAGAAACCACATCAGAATGAAACCAAAGGCCTGGTGTTTCGGGCCCACTGTCTTCTAAAACTCGTAAGCAGACACATTATGTTGGAGTTAACAGCCTGGTGACTTAGAAGCATGTCTGTTAAGTAAACAAAACTCACTAAGACAAAAGGATCTTCACTGAATCAAACTATCTCCTAAATTCTCAGGTTCGGGTGTGTTCTTCATGTTGGAGAGGCTGCTTTAAACTTCAGATAGTAAATTTAGTGGGCTTGTGGAAGATAGGAAGGAAGCAGTAAAATATATATATATATATACACACACACACACACACACACACATATACACACAAACACACATATATATGGAATATATATGGAAAGAAGACATTAGGGTTTTTCACAGGCACAGTGATCTTTCAAATGAAGAGATACTTAAAATTTAAGTCAACACTACACTGCTGACTCACAGTGAACTTACAAAGCCTGCCTCTTGGAGTCTTTCCTATCTGAGTAAGTGGAAAGTACATCATCCTTCCTTTGGCTCAGGTCCGAGACCTCCAGAGTCATCCCTGACTCAGGTCCCTGACACATGCCCTCCGTCCCCAGCTCACCAGTGTCACCTTCACCGTATGTATGCAGCTTTCCCTGAACAGACTAAGACTCCCATGAGGCCCACCAGCCCCTTGCCTGTGGGAGCCGTGGTTCTTTCTCAGCACTCCTGGTACCCAGTCACTTGCCAGGGGTGTCATGTTCTCTTCCACCCCCAAGCTGAGGCCAGCAGGCTGGTTATTGGATGCCGGGCTGGTACACCCCAATTCTTTTTCTGGCAACTTAACCAAGGCCCAACACTGTGGTTGCACTGAATGGACAGAGCCAGCGTCAGAGCTTAGCTGACAGTGTTCAGTCACTGCAAGCCAGAATAGAAAGTGCGCTCCCTGTCTGCCAGCACCCCCCTTAGTTCCCCTGCTTTGCTGTTCTCCCTGCCCCCCTTTACATTCTCCACACTGGGCTCAGTTTCCTTGCAGTTAATTCACTGACAGCCTCTCCCCAGCAGCAGTCAGTTCCACAGACAGGAGTTTTGTCTATTTTGCTCACTGCTGAGTGTTCAATGAGCAGGACACATCTGACACACGACAGCACTCAAACAGTTGTACAGTGAAAGGAGATGAATAAGTGAAATGACACCGCTGATAATTTCTCACTTATTCCTCCTAGCAAAAGTGCCACAAAGACAAAAAAAATCTGTGTTTGCATATTGGTGGGAATATTTAGGCATGAACTTAAAAGGAATGAAACACTTAGCACCCCCAGCATCCAAGCTATAGATTTTTTTTAAGATTTATATATTTATGCATACAGAACTGGGGTACAGGCCAGAGCTGCAGGAGGTGAGAGGATTCACCAGAGACAGAGTGGGGAGCAGAACAGGCAGGTCAATGAAGTACACTGCTGAGGGGAGCAGCAGTGGGTCATGAGAGGTCTGCTGCGCCACGTGGTCACCTCCAGGGTGGGGACTGAACTCATGCTGAAGTGGCTTTAGCTTCTTATTGCTGTGTTTTAACAGGCTGCGCCACCAAGGAGGGCCCCTTTTTTCTTTTTTAACCACCAGACAAACCTGGAACTTATGCTTAGAATTACGGGGGTGGGGTGGCATCAGCGTTACATGACAGAGGCAACCCTGGGTCCACATACAACCACATACAATCAGGTTTCACCATCGCTTTGGATAGTGGAAATCCCTATAGTTTTGAGCTGTCGATGACAATTAGCCCCAGGGGGCCCTCCCTGGTGGCACAGCGGGTGACAGCACAGCACTGACAAGCTAAAGCCACTTCAACTTGAGCTCCATCCCCGCCCGGGAGGTGACCCATAAGGCTCGGCAGACCTCTCCTGACCCGCCGGCTGCTCCTCTCAGCAGAGTGTCTCAGTCAATCTGCCTGTTCTGCTCCCCACTCTGTCTCTGGTGAAGCCTCTCGCC